ACGGGGGAGGAGAAGGGATAGTTTGAGTGAGAGTGATTGATTTGTTGGGTTGATTACTGCTTGCTTGCTTGCTTGATGGATGCATTGGGTTATTCGGAAAGTAAATGATCTGATATGAAATTATTATGGATATGGATATGGTATGCTATGATATGCTATGATATGATATGCAATGGATGTACATAATGCAGTGTGCTTGTTATTCTTCTTGTTCTATTTGTTGTTTCTACTTTAAGGGTGAATATGGCAGGGAAACGATATAAGATGATACTATGGGATGGGATTTTTGATCATGGTAGTTGATTGCAGTGAAATTGACTATGTGATGTTACACGAGATCTCTGGTCCTATTGATTAGAGTTGTGCTATCTACTTGTGCTTGTAAGGGATATGTGATACTAGTATGCATTTTGAGAGCTATCCAAGTGCTGGCATATTGTCATTAACGATAAGCCATGACTAGCCACCAATCTCTGTGCTATGCTACACCATCTAAACGAACGGATGCTAAAATATACCAATTACTCATTCTCCTTGCCCAAGTCTGCCGGCTGACTGCCTTCATCTTCAAGCCCAAGCCCCCGCCAGGCGGAATCATAGCGAGACATGCGACGAAGAGGTGGTCGAGTGCCAAAAGCCATGGAATTAGTTCTCTTTCGATTGTTGAAAGACCTGCAGGTCCCGCGCCATATAACAGTGCTGGCTTGTTCCGGCTTTTTAGAAGGTTTGATTGTCGAACCACTAGACACCACCGCACCTGCTTCATTTGAGTGCCAGCTTCCAAGAGCCAATTTACTGATGTCTTCATCGGTCAAGCCCTGGGTACGTAAAGTTTCCCATACGGGATGGGATCTCAGACGTGCACTTTCCAGCGATGAGGTGCGAACCTGGTGAAGGATCCAGTTGTCTATGAACTTACGCCGCTGAAAGGGTGGCCCAGTGCTATCGAAATCATTCTGATCATACGGGGAGGACCTTTCACGAATCGTCAACTTGAACGGGTCTTTGACTTGATCATCTGCAGAACGGATGTCATCTGCAGAACGACTGCGAATGCCCAAGAAGTGAGCTGTGCCCCCTGCGAATCCTGGATCACTTTGGGCTATCTCGTCAAGGTCTGACTCGAAGTCGGCGATGTCATAGCATGGCTGTGCCTCTATCCGATCCCAAGCTTCCGAGAACCTATAATCTGGACTTACTGGACGCGTGCTTGTTTGAGAGACTGGGACTCTCTCTGCGCCAGATATGGATTCCTGCACCTGTGATGTGAACAGAAGGGGCTGCTGCTGCTGCGAATCATTTTTCCTCTCAGATGTGGTCAGCGGGACCGATTTGGTATCAAAGCCTCGGGGATCAGAACTAGAACGCACAACCCCGGATTTGGTCCTAACACCTTGAGGTGCTCTATTAACTGCCAGGTTGAATAGGCGGCTCAGTCGGGCGGCTGAGCGAGCGAGCTCCTGTTCAAGCTCCTCCAATTCATCCTCAGACTGATTAAGCTGATATTCCAAATCCAAATGATAGAGCGCGATCGACCGGAGTGCTGCGTAATCCTTTTCAATGAGCTGTGAAGTAGATTGGCAAGTGCAGCATGTAATAGCACTGAGATGTGCTCTGATAGAATCCCTCACAGCCGTTTCCTCTTCTCTCTGTTCCCACATCATGGCGCGCAACTTGTGCACCTTGTGCCTATCTATAGCGATCAACTTCTGCTGCTCATGACATTCCTTCTGCGCTATATAAGCCTCCACCATATCAATATCACCAACTGGTGGTATGTGGTGTCCCCAATGACGTTTCCTAGGCAGGCAGTTTGCATCATCGGCTGTAGATTGCGTTATCCCATCTTCCTTGCTGTGTGATACGAAACCTGAATTGGAGTCCACTTTCCCTAAAAAATCATTGACATTCCCTGTCAAGGTGTTCTCTGCCAAGCTCGGAGGGGGTTCCGAGGCAGTTTTGAATTTGGATTCAATTGATGTGTTCAGTGGAAAGGGAGGTGGATGGCTGGGAAAATTGCGTTCTAAAGTATTGGGACCATCAGGTTTATCTCCAGAGGGGAAGCCGGTATTATGGATATTCCCAGGGAGCATATTGGAAATGAGAGTAGAATAGAATGGATAGAATCTGGCGCGAGTGATAGGGCTTATTTAGTCGATGAACTGCAGGGAAGCCCTAGCAGCGACATCGTGGAAATCTCCTAAGGAACTTTTCGCAGAAGGAGCGAAGCCATAGGAAGAGGGAAAGAGCGACGGGTCAGCCTGATAGACTGCTATCTGATACCTGAGCAGCGACATGGCTAAGAACTAGAAGGTACCTCAGTTTGCTGACCCTTAAATGGCAAGAGATACTGAAGTGTACTTCGCACGAGGGAATGGAGATGCGATAGCAGCCAACAGGCTTATCGGTGGAGCGCAAGTGGAGTTCATCCAAAATCAGAGCCTCGGAAAATCTCACCGCCCGACGGATTTTCCAGCCCGCTTGAATGAGGAAAACTTTCCAGTCGTTCACCAGCTTCCCCAGACTCCCTTCCCTTAAACTAGCAGTGAAATTTGGGAATTTATATCGCCACAATGAAGCGCAAGTTGGATGCTAATGATGTTCCCTCCCCTGAGGTTGCGGAGACCAAGGAGGCCCCCGATGCGAACGAGGCCGACTTTGAAAGCCTCAACCTGGATCCGCGACTGCGCCAAGCCTTGATCAAAGAGAAGTTCACCAAGCCTACGCTCGTCCAGGCGAAGGCCATTCCACTGGCGCTCGCTGGCAAAGATATTCTTGGTGTGTATATCCCAGTGTCTATGGTGGATGATAAGCATACTAACAATACCAGCTCGTGCAAAGACCGGCTCCGGAAAGACCGCCGCATATGTCCTCCCTATCCTTCAGACCATTCTTCAGAAGAAAGCTGTCAGTACTCCCCCGATTATATCGATAGACATCAAAGAGCCAAACTAATCGTATTCTGCTGCTAGGCCGACCCCTCATTTAAAGCCACCACAGGCCTCATCCTCGTCCCCACTCGAGAGCTTGCAGAGCAGGTCCAAAACGTCGTCACCACATTCGCTGCTTTCTGCGGAAAGGACGTTCGCTCTGTGAACCTCACTCAGAAGGTCTCCGAGGCCGTACAGCGCACTATGCTCTCTGATTACCCCGATATCGTCATCTCCACTCCCGCTCGTGTGATTGCCAACCTCGGAAACTCCTCTCTTTCGCTGGATAACCTGACGCACCTTGTTATCGACGAAGCCGACTTGGTCCTTTCATACGGATACGATGAAGATATCAATGCACTTTCTAAGGCGATTCCCCGTGGCGTACAGACCTTCCTCATGAGTGCTACGCTCACCTCGGAAGTGGATACTCTGAAGGGACTGTTCTGTCGCAGCCCTGTTGTGCTGAAGTTGGAGGATAAGGAGGAGAAGGGCGCCGGTGTTAGCCAATTTGTTGTCAAGTAAGCATACTTTGTACACGACGAACGATTAAAGCGCTGTACTAACTACTTCACCCACCAGATGCGCAGAGGATGAGAAATTCCTCCTGACATACGTGATCTTCAAGCTCCAGCTCATCAAGGGCAAGGTCATCATATTTGTCGGAGACATCGACCGTTGCTACCGCCTCAAGCTTTTCCTGGAACAGTTCGGTGTCAAGAGCTGTGTACTCAACTCCGAGTTGCCAGTGAACTCCCGAATCCACGTCGTCCAGGAATTCAACAAGGGTGTTTACGACATCATTATCGCTGCAGACGATCAGGAAGTCCTAGGATCCAAGTCGAAGAAGGCCAAGAACGCCGACGCTGATGAAGAGGAGGAAGCTGCTGGTGTCATGGGATCCAGTGACGACGAAGAGGCCGAAGATGACAAGAGCAAGTCGAATCGCCCGGACAAGCGTCGCAAGCTCACCGCGAAAGAAAAGGACTATGGTATCTCTCGTGGTATCGACTTCCAGAATGTGGCCTGCGTTTTGAACTTCGACCTCCCCACAACCGCCAAATCCTACACACACCGCATCGGACGAACCGGCCGTGGCGGCAAGACCGGCATGGCGCTCTCGTTCGTCGTCCCAGCAGACCAGTACGGAAAGCACAAGCCCACCTCCTTCCCCACCGCCAAACACGACGAAGCCGTCCTGGCCAAGATCGTCAAACGTCAATCCAAACATGGCCACGAAGTCAAGCCCTACCACTTCGAGATGAGCCAAGTCGACGCCTTCCGCTACCGTATGACCGACGGTCTTCGCGCCATCACACGCCTTGCCGTCCAGGAAGCCCGTGCTCGTGAGATCCGTCAGGAGCTGGTCAAGAGCGAGAAGCTGAAGCGCCACTTCGAAGACAACCCAGACGAGCTGCGCCAGCTCCGTCACGATGGCGAGCTGCGCTCCGCACGTATCCAACCCCACCTGAAACACATCCCCGAGTACCTGATGCCGTCCAAGGGTCGCAAGGGCATCTCCAGCGAGGATGTCGGCTTCGTTGGGTTCCGGAAAAATAGCGACAACCGCATCCGCAAGGCCAGAGATAAGAACCGCGCCAAGGGCAAGGGCCGCAAGCCCTCGGGTGTTAGAAAGGTTGATCCATTGAAGACGTTTAATAGGGGCCGGAAATAGGCGTTGTACTAGTGTGGGATCAGTGGTGGATGAATGAGGGATTATGTACATATTGTTCTTGGTTCCATGGGAAAAAGTTCATCATATTCGGTTTGGGATAGTGCGTGCATATAGAACTCCAATTCAAATAATTGCATGTAAAATTATGAGATTGTGGAATATGCCACTTGTATTTCGCTTTGAAGCTGTAATTCTCTATCACCATCTGATATAAGCCTTATTTCCTTTCAGTAGGTTATATACCAGGAACTAACTTATACTTCCCACAGCATTAACATCACCTACTAAGCTTATAGGTATTATATACTAACTACTACTATGCAACCCTCACAAATACCTACCACTTCCTAACCAACTATCAATATATATGCATACCCCCATAAACAAACCACCCATCAAGGCAAAACCCCCACCCACTCCTTCCCAAACAACTTCTTCAACCCATCCTCCTCAATCCCCTCCAACCCAAAAGAAAACTGCACCCACTTGCCCTTCCCCTCCCTCCTCAACCTCAAAACCCACTGCTGCACCTCCTTCGCAGCCTGCACCGTCTCCCGGAACCGCTCTAGCTCCTTCCCCCTCCGATACTTGATCCGCTCGACCTCCACATCCCACGGTAAATCCGACGCTGGCTCCACATCTCCTCCACCACCACCGCCTCCTACACGGCTCGCAAGAGCGGGATGCGGCGGTGGCGCATGCGCTGAGAAAGCCAGGGAGCGGGTAGGCGACGACAAAGACGAGGAAGAGGAGCCGCTCTGGCTGATGCTGTTCTCGGGGAGGAGTTCGGCGTCGTCAATATGGGGCAGCCAGCCTGGTCCGAGACGAATGTATTCGATGTCTCGCCAGGAGGTGTTCCATTCGGGACCTGAGGAGGCGTACGCGGATGAGATTGATGATTCGCTGTCTTGCCATTTCAGGGCTGGGATCCAGTCGCCGCAGCCTTCGAGGTCGAGCCATTTCAGGCAGTAGGTTACGCGGGATAGGCGCCGGAGGAGACCTGCTGCTTCGGCCCAGTTGTTTTCGCTGGCGGAGTAGGTGTCGGTGCCGCCGTAGGAGAATGTTAGGGAGCGGTGGTTGGGGTGGCGGATTCGGGCGTTGATTGCGTTGGGCGTGACGGTGGGTATAGGCCAGTGGGCGAGAGAGAGGTGGGTGATGGTGGAGAGGCGGGAGAGGAGGCTTATGAGGGAGTTCCAGTTGACGGTGCCGGGTTTGGGGTGTGCGAGGGAGAGGTAGCGGAGGTTGGAGAAGCGGAGAGTTGGGGATGGCGTATGAGGGATAGTGGTGGGATTGCTTGCTGTTGGGGTGATGGTGTTGCCCTCTTCTTCGACTTCGTCGTATTCCTCTTCCCAGGAGGAGGGGACGGATTCTTTGGGCTTGCGCTGCACAGTATTTGTCTTCTCGGTGATGAGGAGCTCGCTGGAGAGCTGCTTCAAGCTTAGCCATCGACCGATGGCGCTGCTTAGGTCTAGACGGGTGACTTCGGACTCGCTTTCTTGATGTATATCGGGGTCATCGGTAGCGCGGGATTTCTCGAATAGAGGTCGCAGACCGCGCATAAGCCCGCCTAGTGGTCGATCCTTGGCGTATATAGCGATGTAGCTGAGGAGGCGCACTTTGAGGTGATTTGGAAGAGCTCCCAGGAACAGTCCGTCATACTCAACATGCCATTCCCAGTATGTTGCCATCGATCTGAGCACCGTTTCGACAAGACTGCCCTTGGGAGGGAAGGTCGTGCCTGGTAGACGCTCTAGCCGGTAGATGACCCTTTCTTTCTCCGCGGCAGCAATATCAACATCGTCTTCCTCCGCATCATCCCGACTGCCCAGGAGCCAGCTCTCTGGTGGTGGTGGTCCAGCAGTCCGTCGCAAGCGCAACGAGCCAACAACCCCGACACGACGCGCCCCCGGGCGGGGGCGGGGAGGCGGGGTTTCCGGTAGCTCAAGAAGGTTCCGTAAAGAGGGATGTACAGATCGAGGCGCGACAAATCTAAAGGGGCTTTCAGGTCCATTGGAGACCTGCGTGCGGCGGAGGTGGTGAATCAGGTCGTTGACGGAGGGTTGCTCCGCGGAAGAGGACGAAGCGTGGGATGAACGAAGACGATCATGGTGGTCGTGTCGCGGGCCGGAGGAAGCGAGGGTATGGTGAGCAGTGCTGGCTGGTTTCGCAAAGGCGGTCTTCTTGTGCTTTTTGGGCATAGGGATGGGAAGAGAGTAGTAGACTCAAGGGGGAGGTTTCAATGTGGCAGAAGTGGGATGAGCCCGATCGGCGGAGCACCTCCCCATCTTATCGTTCGCCGCAGCTGTTTTCGCCCCTTCGGTTTAGTAAGGCTGAGCCACGATTTAACCAACTAGCTTGTTAGTTCACGAGATAGTTTGCTATGAGTGAGAATGAGTCATTGGTCAATTGCTAGCTTGCCGTATAGCCAGGCTGAGTCTTCTTTGGTCGATAGGCTGCGGTAGAGAAGACAAGGAATAGCGTGCGATGTTGCTTGTGCCCATATTTTATTTCTATGCAAGGTTCTATTGTACAGTTGTTTTTTGCTTCGCAGTAATGCACATCGTCAAATATCGCGGACCCATGAATCATCGTCCATCTTACCCTCGCGCTTAGGGCCCTCTTGCATCCATGTCTCCACTAGACCTTCCTTCGGGTCTTCGTCTGACAATCCTCTCGTCCGTCGGACATCAAGGACGAGATCCCGGACCTTCTTAGTGACCTCCTTTCGCAGCTCAACTGCTTCAGGGTCATATAAGAGCTGGTCATTTAGCACTCCAAACGGCAGATCGCGAGTCTCGGGGGCTACGCGTTCAGCCTTGGCCCTGATGTTTTGCCAACGTCGTCGGTATTCCCCGAAAACCGCCTCCCTATCCACTTTCTGTCCAAAAGTTATGCTGACCTCCTTTCCGACACGAGGCAGGAACCGGGGGAATTCGCGGCTTTCGTGCATAACCTGGTCGAAGCCCTCGAGCCAGATCGGCACCACATCCGGGCATTCGCTAGCCTCGAGGATCAGTCGTGCCACACCCCATTTGAAATAGCGCATAGTCTTATTCGGCGCTTGGTGGATCTTTCCCTCCGGGAATATATGGAACCAGGAATACGAGTTGCAGGCGTAGGAGGACGGCGATAAGTGGGAGTCATGCCCGTCGGTAGTGTAGGCTGTAGGCAGATCGGAAAACGGATCGACGCAAACATTTTGTAGACTCCACGATTGACGTTCGGGGACAGCAAGATGAGGGTCAGCGGGAAACGGTCCCTTCGAAAGGAGTCGGATCGCCTGGGTGACGACTGGCTGGGCGAGGCCACCATATTGCGAATGGGCCGATCGATGTGTCGGCAGGACTTGGCCCATGGTGAAGAAAAGGGCTAACGGCCTATACACCAGTCCGGTCAGTCAGCAACAAATCATTTCAAATTTGAACCAGGCAAAGAGAACTGCCGTACCTAGTCTGATAACAGATGTCGTGGCTTCCAAACCCCCATCGCTTATTCCAATTCGCAAGTCCGAAGTTATATCGCATCGGTAGAAATCCCCACATGATCGGATCATCCATCCTACTCAATTAAAGCGGCCATGGTCAGCGTTCTCTGACGTCGGAGTTGAACGGGTCGCCTCAGCTTTCGAGACACAATGTAGGCACGTACACGCTGGTATGGTTCGAAACTAATAATCCAAAACAGTTAGCCGATATAAGAACTTTTGGGTACAGTGATCTAAGAGGGAAAAGACTAGACAGCATACCTGTGAGCAAGCCTCTCGTTCTCTGCGAGGGATCACTCCTCGAGTCGAGGAGCTCGAGAAATTGATCCAACCCATTCGCCTGTGGCCGACTGCAGAGGTACAAAAACGAGCGGCATAACGCTGCAACCCCGAAGATAGTGGTGGAGGACAATGCCCTCCAAGGAAGCGAGGGCGCATCGGCCGTTGCGCCGCCAGAGTCCGTAGAGCGCGACATTGTTCACTCAGCCCGCTCTAACCGAGATCCATCCAAGCAGTAACAGGGAGAAGGGCAAGTAATATAATACAGCGTAGCGGCAAGGCAGAAAGTGAGGAGAGGAGGAGGGGGGAACAACCCCGGATCGACGGCGTGAAAGCAGGTGGCATCTTCATTGGCCTCGCAGAAATTCGGGGAAGGAAATCAATTGTTGGCCCGCGGAGGTTCGCCGTGCACGGACCTCCCCAAACCTCCTCGACGGGATTTTCGTCCGCCAACTCGGCTTTCCGCTCCTTGTGATTGATAGCTTACCTCCCACTCCTTCGTTCCCTTCGTCCTTCTTTCGGTGACTATATTCGGTGTCAATCGCAAAGATGATGTTCAAGCCCTCATCGCCGCTCTTCTCGGGTCTTCTTTGGTAGGTCGCAATCCCATCTGACTGCCCCTGTCACCCGCCCGGACATCCCGCATTGCTACAACCACCCCCATCATCATCATCATGCGCCTTGAAGCTAATATCACTCGTCAATCGAATAGGAAGATTCCGTGGCGTCTCTCCCAGCCTCAGAAGGCTCGCCAGAGGAAGCGCCTCCGTGGCGTTGACCGGGTTGTCGACACTGTCTCCGCCGCGCTGGAGCGCAATGGATACACCACCAAGTCCGTCGAGCGCTGGTACAGGGAAATGCCTCGCGAGGAGGAGATGCTGCCGAAGGACAAGTACACACTGTTCGACAAGAAGGAGAAGAAGTACCGCAAGGGCATTCACAGTACGTTACACCCTAGGCCCATCTAAGTCGAAGGGCTGCCATTCCCAGAGGGACTCAAACGAAGGGGATTCTGTTCGAATTTCGTGTGCTAATGCTATTTCTCTTACAGAGCTACCCAAGTGGACCCGTGTCAGCCAGAGAGTGAACCCCCCGGGTTTCTAAACAGCTTATACACGCAGAGTGTGTTGGGAAGCTGGCAATCGCCTTTTACATATTTGTACCTGCATTATTCAACTGTACTATACACCACACGCTGTGTCCGCCACGATGCTCTACAACGAGCGTTGTTGAAGGCACGGAAAGGATTACCGGAGTTTTTGGCAACTGGGGAATGACACCATGACTGCATTGTTCGCCTCGCTATTTACCATGTTCTTTATTCAAGCCTAAGGCACAGGATTCAATTCGATTTCAGAGACTTGGCATTTGATGGCATCTTTCAGATTCGTAAGGATAGGCGGCCCTTGGGAACCGATGGAAGCGCCTGAAGGCAGCATAACAATACAGATAGACCATAAAGAGGCTGCATCATGTTATCTGTCCCGTACATCATCCTTTCACACAGATATATAACCGCCCTAGACACATTCGAACTGTTTGCAGAGCAACCACACAATTTCTGCCCAAAACGCGCTGTGCTGTCAGCGGACCAGACATGAGTTGTTTGCAGATCAAGAGCCTTTTGCTGTTGCCATATGAAAATACCGGCTGATTGCTCCTGCAGTTTCTTTTGCTCTTGTTCTGTTGACTCTGCCTTCATGGATGGCTTTCCGAATCAGATAGCCATGGCGGATCTTTTGCCAATCATCGAATGTCTCTTGCCAGCCTGCCCCTCCTTCATAATAGACTTTTCCCTGTCGGGCTGACATGAACGGTCCTTGCGGGGGTCTGCGCAGCATCCAGCATGATGGGTCAACCTTCCCATCTGATGGATCAGCCGTCGAATCGGGGTAAAGTTTAATTGTCTTGACCATGTCACGTAGTCCAGATGCTTTTCGGTGTTTGTTCACAGCTAGCCTCCATGAGTTAATTTTAGGAGTATAAATTGCTTTGCGTGGCACCCTTGGGTACTTTGGTTTCGCGGCCCAGTCAGGCTTTGGATATGGCGAGTTGAATCTTGGATCTCCTAGTCGCCTTCTAGCATCGATAGGTATTCGCGTAGGTGGGTCAATTACCAGCCAGGTTTCTTTATTGAGCCAGTGGTTCGCAAGCAGCGCGAAATGGTAAGGTCTCCGGCCTGGGCAGAGCTGGTTGTAGAGCCATTCCAGTCTCCGGTCCAGCCCATCTATGAACTGTAGCTCCCAACTAGTTAGCTCGCTAATAGGAACTTTTCTTTCCAGAAGCCCTGTCCGCTTCTTCCTCTCCCGGGACTGCCTTGTTCTAGAGCGATGCATGCGCAATGGCTCTTTCTGTCGCGTGCGACCATCTGAATCCCTTTCTTCTTCCAAGCCTAGTCCTGTACGATGGCGGGCCTCCAGGCGACATGGTAAGCTTGATCGACCACATGCAGGGACTGCAGAGTAGCGCACAGCTAAACCAGCAATATGATCAACACTTACCGCTGCTTCCACATTCTTGACATAATTATGGTTGTTAGGATTGTTAGGTATCAGTGTGCTGGAATTTGTTGAGAAATCCTCTTTGCGCCTTGATTGGTTCAGGATCAATAGAGATGTCTGATCGGATGAACTGGTGACAGAAAGCCCAGATCGCGGAGTTCCGGCAGGTGGTCCTAGAAGCTCTGTATATTTGGACGGTTGCAGTGCCATCCGAGCAGAGAAGACTTGGTGCTTACGGAAACCTCGGAGCCTTTTTATTGTCTTTATTCCGCCTTCTGGAAAACTTGCCTTCGCGCAGTGTGGTGCATTTGAGGCGATCGAACTCTCATAATTCTGGCTGAGGCATGGAAGCGAAAGACTGCGTATGTCTCCTGTGCCACGACCTGCAAATCTTAAGCGCATCCGAGTGCTGCAAGATGTATGGCGCGACTGGCTTTGAAGTATGTCTATGTTGCTTGCATATTTGAGAGGTTCTCGCTCAAACCTGCACTCTCTTGTGCATTCGCTTCGATACTGGCGAGTTTGTCTTGCCTTTCCTCGCATTGACGCTCGCTGATAGCCACGCTGAAAGAACAATTGGCTATGCGAGCTCGTAACATTGCTTCCTCCAAGCGCATAGTAGATTGTTCGACTTGTTATGGATCCAGGTGTGTGACTTCTCGAAAGCGCCCCGGTCATAGCTTTGAGAGAAGCATATCCACTGCAGAAGTCCGACGTAGTAGTGTTCCTGTGGCGAGGAGGGGGCCCTGGGTTCCAGATAGTATCAGCAGCAATGTAGCTATAGCTTTTAAACCAGGTCGGTAGCCATCGCAGGTTTCTCCTTTCTTCGCAAAATCTATTCTGCATTTTCTGTCCAGGATCCCACCAAAGCCAGTGATAGTCATCGCTCGGCGATCTCCAGACTGCGCAATCATGGAGCTTTTGCAGAAATCTCCGTGCTAGCGCTTTGTTCTCCTTATGTCGTTTTGCTGAGACCCAACCATACCAAGTCCTGCTATAGCGTGTTGTAGTTTTGTTTCCTTGTTTGAGCACTTTACCCTGGGTGAGGAAACGACAGAACTTCGCAATTTTCCAGAAGAAAACCGAAGCAATAAAGAATAACACTGTGCCTGCGAAAAGCTGAAGCAACGCTTTGAGACTAACGTATTTCGTGGCTTGTATGACAGATGCATGAGCGTTTTCATATGATCGAGTGAAGGGTTGGGATTGATATAGATACATCAAGACGGGTGCCATCTGATTGAAGCCTCATTGAATAACAAGCAAGGGATAGTCATCCTGGTAACAATATAAGATATGCGCCGTCCAGGTCATGTACTGGGAGTATCAGTCGCTTCAGTGGAGAGTGGTCTTGCGGTTTGTGGGAAGCGCAAGAAAAGGGAAGGAATGGCTGGTGCTGCATAATCATGACACTGACCCGAAATTGTTGCATCCCTCGGCCTCAGACACGTTTGCGCGCCTTGCTTTTGACCTTGCCTCCCTTTTGATTTGATTGCCCAACTTGTCTTGAGGATCAGAATCATAATCTGCCCCAGATCTGGGGTAGATTGTCACGATGAAACTGTCCATGTGAACAAGACGAAAGATATAGCAAGACTTTGTTCGCTTTTCCTCCGGAATGCTGCATGTTCTACCACAAAGCCACTCCCGCGCCATAGTACTCAAACAACCAAATGAAGCCGTTGATAGGTAGTACTCTACCTGCTCAGAGACACTGGGCTTCATACGAATGCTTTTCCGAGTTATCCTATGCTACATTGATCAGAATATTCCGTCTGTTTGGTTCGAACTTGAGCACTTGTCTTCCTAGGGAGTGGTCCCTTGTAACATAATTCTAGGGATACCAAAGAATAGCTTCTTCTTCCCTCGGAACCATCAAATTGCAAGGCTACTCCTGGGAGGTAAGGTCTTTCATCTGGTTCACCGCGCCAAGAAAACGCTGCCGGTCTCAAGGCTACAAATCACAGCGATGATCTCAGAGATTCGACACATTTCTCGCATATATTCGCAATGATAGCTATAGCATATCACAAGTATGCAGTCGGTGAGACTGGATCCCATAGAATATGGCTGGTCCATGTTAACATTGTTCAAAACACAAAGACAAGGGTATGCCTTGTCCTGGTGGCTGTCTTCACTATTCTTGGCAGAGGCATTGTAGAAGTGATAGTCTCATATCTGGAACCAGGCTGTCGGGTTTTTCTATAGTTCTCGCGAGAATTTATTCCTTTTCAGAGGGCCTGGATTTAAAAATAGGTGTCAGCTCAGCTGTGTTTGCACTGCATTGATGATCGACACATGGTGTCAATCTAGACAAGATATGTCGCAGGCTTGTCCAAGGTTACAGAGCCAGAGAACTTGGATATAGTGGGCACGCCATAGCTTTGAGGACTTTGTCTCGTTATGGTTTGGACCTAGCACTCACAGACACATTCGATTACTTCCCTTATCGTCATTCTGGAGTTTCCGTTCTGCTCCTGCTGAATGAGGGATGTTCAGATCAGGTGACCGTAGATGGTCGGTTTCCCGCCTCACTCTCTCGCCTCATTTTTCCCTTCAATCTCATCAACACCAAGGCTCAGAGCCTGAGAATCGATCCCCCATTCATTTCACACTTAATTTAATTGAATGGCACATGTGGCTATAGGTATTCATATTTTCTTTTTCATGCCTTTCTTTCTTCTAGTAATGAATCGTTTGATGCTAGGATCATCACTGTCTCGGTTCAATCCATTAGTGAAGAAAAATTAATGAAAGCTGCAATGGTCGAGATCCCCTGATGGTCCTCACATCGTCAGCACAACCGAGCACTCCAGCCCGTATTTCAATCCATTAAGGGGACTACCTCCCAGCTGCTTCAATAATTGAACGCAACGAGGCTTTCCCCCTTTTTTTGCATTGCCCCCTGGATATTACTTTATTCATTAGCCTGCTAACAAGCTCGGCGAAAACAGGGAAATTCTACTGAAGTTTTTTTTTGCCTTTAGGTTACACGACCCATAGCCTATACCTAAACCCCGGTTCTGGGTCAAAGGCACGGTTACCAAGTACCGGGATAGCTACTACACTTCTACACGCCCGCGGCGAAAAATACCCCCGGCTGCTTGTGGGGTTAGCACATCTAGGGCTGACGTCCAGTACCTCTTTTGGTCAATGGCGCTCAGTGGCTGATTAGAATCATTACTAGGTCGTCTGCTAAGGCCATCGTCGACCGGCTTGCCGGAAGGCTTCCAGACACAGTTGGGTCCTTGTGAATTCCAGCCCTGTACTTTTGGCCGCTTCGGATCGCCGTCTAGCCCTTCTTCGGTCCAAAACAGGAATACACAGGACATGCCCCATGTGGCAGTAGCAACGGAAAACATCCCCTGCCCTATAAATTTTCCTGGTACATGTGATATCTGATACATATGGGAAATATAACTCGCGATATCTGTGACACCATCAGCCATCATCCATGTGATTGTTCAACGAAGTAGTCCCAAGCTGAACATGAGCAAGGGTAAAAGGATGGCAAAGAAAGAAAAAAATAATAAAGAATAAGGACCAAGATGTGTGTTCACCGATGCTATCTTACCGGGATACTACATTCCTAAAGCCACTGATCTCTTTGTAATCGGCACCAGGCTCCAACCGGGGCGGGATGGATATACTACCGCAGGGATTGCCACCTCTGATTGATGAGCTTGCTGCAATCACATACACTCATTACATTGAGTTGCCCCATTCCGACATCCTATGCCCTAATTGTTGCGGGATTTGTTGCGGAGCCTGAGCCTCGTATAGATAAAGATCTACCAAACGATGATCGACCGCATACCACGTTCATGGAGGGTTACATGCACGGTGATGGCCCACCAATTTTTTTTTTCTGATGTCTAGACGGACAGGAAAAGCAAAGGAATAGTAACATGATTCGCTAGGCCGTGTGTATCATATCGTCGGCATTTGGAACATATACTCTTACGACAGTATCACACCATACCGGCATCGCATATTCACAGATGAGCAAGGTTGTCTCCCTTGGACAGAGGCAAAAAGGGGCAGGTAAACTGGTAATGCCTCGCTGCATCCATGACTTGCCTCTTCTCAGTTCACTGATCATGGATGTCACACGGTGAGCGAATCCAGGGACTCGAGTCATGTCAGTAAGCAGAGAACGTACCGTGGGGCACCCCACGGCGAAGGGTAAGCGGTAGACGCTAGTGGAATAGACGAGGATTTAGGGGGTGGAGTGGTGATGAACGATGTCTTTCAGCATTGACGAAAGACAAGTCAGCTTCAAGCATGGGTGATCCTGGAACTGGACCACTTTGCAAATGCGATCCGGATTACGGGATCAGAAACAAACACATCACCTGCAGTAAATGCGGTGTAAGAGCTCCCTTTGCAGGATGTTCCAAGTTGTGCCCGACGCCACAATTCGGGACTATTTGCTGAACTATGACAGTTCCGGATGACCACTAGCCACACCCGCCGCAACGTAAGGAAGGCCGTGGTTTCACTACACCGCCACAGATGGGCCGTTGATCATCGTGTCAGCCACAAGTGGCTACTAGTGAACCATAGCGCAGTCGCCCAATCATCATGCAGCATGTCTCGTCCCACGCATCCCGAGGCATGGAACCTACAGGAGGAAGTAGCGCCGATCGATCTTGCATTGCATTGCAGAAACACTCAACGATTGGTGTCTGAAAAAGCAAGCATCCCCGATGACCACCATCTTGATCTTGTCGATGATGAAATGAGATTCGATGATCTCAATACCAGCGGGAGTCACGGCTTCGCGTGTGACCGGAACTCCGTCTATTGATCGATCACGGCCTTTTCAAGGTTAAATTTCAGGAACGTAAACATGACATACTGCACACTTATCTCACTGCATGACAAACCCGTAATCCGCGAAGTGCGAGGGATCAGCACGATAAGTGCAATGCAGAAACTACATGTCATCATTTCAGACATGGAGCCCTGATGGTGAAGACCCCAGGGTCTAGATCTTGCACGCACACCGTTGTACTGGGTATCATGCAGTGGACCCACCGTTCATCCGGCCGAAACCCCCAACTACAGAAAGAAGATCTACATGTTGTGTGGTCTCAGAGGCAGTGGGACCAAGAGGCATCTGCAGTATCATCCCGGCATAATTCGGGTCTATCTCACGGAAATCTTGAGGAGAATGTCATTTGCTAGCCGAGCAGACCGGTGTCAGG